TGTCATTGTTGATATCAGTAGCATCCTTCATTTGCGACGGGGGCGAAGCGGCGGCAGAAGTATCACCAGTACGCATAGCCACAAGGTAGAAACCATAGATCACTAAAACTGAGAACAAGGTGTAGACAAGTCTACTGGTATGTCTACTAAATTCTCTCTCACACCTTGAGGTTCCGTACAACCCACAAGGTAAACCAATACTGCCAAGACCCCAAACTGCTGCTATCACTAAGATAACCCATCGACTGTAGGCGACAGGCAAGAGTGGTTGCAGTAAGAATACAAGGCTAGCTGTGGTTGTGAGCACTAAAACATATATAATTTGGCGCTTATCCCATACATCATCAACTTGCTGTTAATGTTCAAACAAAATGAATTTTGTAATGAACCATCAGAAGGAGCACAAATAATAAATTAATAACATCAAATAAGTTTTTGCCTAGTTATAGATCATTTTGTAAACAAATAAGAAAATACCAATTACATGTTCCACTTGTGAAATTTGTGAGGGTCGCATAGCTAAACTGCTGACAACAAGTACTACTGTTTTTTCTCCCTAAAGCATCCCTATCCGAAGAAGTCTTCTTACTTATGATTAATTAGAACATTTTTCAAAGTATATATGCTTAAACTAAATCAAAGCATATAATGAATTCAAAGAAGACAAACTGACAAAAGTGCACAGCAAACCATGTTGTAGTATGTCCATGTAAGATTTAAATTCAAAAATGAAACTAATGGTTATATTTAATTTCTGTTTGAATTAATGATTGCACGGCCAAATTGAAAATTAAAATAACATATTCTTTCATTAGTATAGTGCTACTGGACTATATATGTGCATTCCAAACATGATACTACTTTAACAATTATGGATGCTCTACACTTGATTTCCCAAACAACAACAACAACAAAGCCTTTAAGTCCCAAACAAGTTCGGGTAGGCTAGAGTTGAAACCCAGCAGAAACAATCAAGGTTCAGGCACGTGAATAACTGTCTTCCAAGCACTCCTATCTAAGGCTAAGTCTTTGGGTATATTCCATCCTTTTAAGTCTCCTTTTATTGTCTCTACCCAAGTCAACTTCGGTCTTCCTCTGCCTCTCTTCACGTTACTATCCTGGTTTAGCATTCCACTACACACCGGTGCCTCTGGAGGTCTCCGTTGGATATGCCCAAACCATCTCAACCGGTGTTGGACAAGCTTTTCTTCAATTGGTGCTACCCTAATCTATCACGTATATCATCGTTCCGAACTCGATCCCTTCTTGTATGACCGTAAATCCAACGCGACATACGCATTTCCGTGACACTTATCTATTGAACATGTCGTCTTTTCGTAGGCCAACATTCTACATTATACAACATAGCAGGTCTAATCGCCGTCCTATAAAACTTGCTTTTTAGCTTCTGTGGTACCCTTTTGTCACATAGGACACCAGATGCTTGCCGCCACTTCATCCACCCTGCTTTGATTCTATGACTAACATCTTCATCAATATCCCCATCTCTCTGTAGCATTGATCCTAAATATCGAAAGGTATCCTTCCTAGGCATTACTTGACCTTCCAAACTAATATCTTTCTCCTCCCGAGTAGTAGTGCCGAAGTCACATCTCATATACTTAGTTTTAGTTCTACCGAGTCTAAAACCTTTGGACTCTAAAGTTTTCCGCCATAACTCCAGTTTCTAATTCACTTATATCCGGCTTTCATCAACTAGCACTACATCGTCCGCGAAAAGCATACATCAAGGGATGTCCCCTTGTATGTCCCTTGTGACCTCATCCATCACTAAGGCAAACAAATAAGGGCTCAAAGCTAACCCTTGATGTAGTCCTATCCTAATCAGGAAGTCGTCCGTATCTCCATCATTTGTTCGAACTCTAGTCATAACATTATTGTACATGTCCTTAATGAGCCCGACGTACTTCGTTGGGACTTTATGTTTGTCCAAAGCCCACCACATAACATTCTTTGGTATTTTATCATAAGCCTTCTTCAAGTCAATAAAAACCATGTGTAGGTCCTTCTTCTCCCTATACCGCTCCATAACTTGTCTTATTAAGAAAATGGCTTCCATTGTTGACCTTTCGGGCATAAAACCAAATTGGTTCATAGAGACCTACGTTATTGCTCTCAAACGATGCTCGATAACTCTCTCCCATAGCTTCATAGTATGGCTCATCAACTTAATTCCCCAGTAATTAGTACAACTTTGAATATCTCCTTTATTCTTGTAGATTGGTACCAATATACTTCTCCACTCATCAGGCATCTTATTCGATCGAAAAATATGGTTGAACAACTGTTAGCCATACTATAGCTATGTCCCCGAGGCATCTCCACACCTCGATTGGAATACCATCCGGTCCCATCGCCTTACCTCCTTTTATCCTTTTCAACGTCTCTCTGACATCAGATTCTTGGATTCTCCGCACAAAGCATCTATTGGTGTCATCAAAAGAGTCATATAACTGAAAGGTTGTGTCCATATTCTCACCATTGAACAATTTGTCAAAATACTCTTGCCATCAATGTCGGATCTCATCCTCCTTCACCAAGAGACGCTCCCTTTCATCTTTAATGCACTTAACTTGGTTGAAGTCCTTTGTCTTTCTCTCACGAACCCTAGCCATCCTATAAATGTCCTTCTCTTCTTCCTTCGTACTCAAATGTTGGTAAGATTCTCGTACGCTCTACCCTTTGCCACACTTACAGCTCGCTTTGTAATCTTCTTTGCCATCTTGTACTTCTCTATGTTGTCCACACTCCTGTCATGGTACAAGTGTCTATAGCATTCTTTCTTCTCCTTAATAGCCCTTTGGACTTTCTCGTTCCACCACCAAGTATCTTTAGTCTCGTCTCCACTTCCTTTGGTTACTCCACACACCTCTGAGGCCACCTTCCGAATGTTGGTTGCCATCTTCTCCCACATGTTGTTTATGTCCTCTTCTTCCTTCCAAGAGCCCTCTTTGATAACCCTTTCCCTGAATACCTCTGACGTCTCCCCTTTCAGTTTCCACCACTTTGTTCTTTCAATCTTAGCTTGTTTATCCCTATGGGCACGCACCTGAAAATAAAAGTCTACCACCAAAAGCTTATGTTGAGAAACAACACACTCCCCTGGTATCACCTTGCAACCTAAGCATGCTCGTTTGTCCTTTCTTCTTGTGAGGACAAAGTCAATCTGGCTAAAGTGTTGTCCGCTACTGAAGGTCACTAGATGAGATTCTCTCTTTCTAAAGAAAGTGTTTGCTATCATCAGGTCAAAAGCTACCGCGAAGTCCAGAACTTCCTCCCCCTCATGATTCCTATTACCATACCCAAAACCTCCATGAACTGCCTCGAAACCTACGCTTGTAGTACCTACATGCCCATTAAGATCTCCTCCTATAAAAAGCTTCTCACTACTAGGTACAGCTCTAATCAGGCCATAGAAGTCTTCCCAGAACTATCTCTTAGCACTCTCGTCGAGGCATACTTAGGGGGCATACGCACTAATTACGTTCAAGACCATATCACCAACGACAAGCTTGACTAAGATAAATCCTATCTCCTTGCCTTCTCACTCCCACCACACCATTCTTGAGGCTCTTATCAATCAAAACTCCTACACCATTTCTATTCACGACTGTCCTGTGTACCAAAGCTTGAAACCTGTATTTTCCACCTCCTTCGCCTTCTGACCCTTCCATTTAGTCTCTTGAACGCATAATATATTTACACGCCTTCTAATCGTGGTATCAACTAATTCTCTTAACTTACCTATAAGCGACTCTACATTCCAACTACCTAAACGGATCCTAGTTGGTTTGACTAGCTTCCTTACCCTTCACACCCATCGACTCAGATGTGAAGACCCTTGCTCATTTTTCACTACACCCGGGCGCCGATGTAGCGCGCCACTAAGTAAGCGACGATCCGATCCTTGCTCACTTGACACCATGCCCAGATCACGACACGACTCATCACCAAGGGGGTGCCGACCCGGCCCTTGCCCATTTAACACCATACCCGGGTTCCGATATGGCGCGTCGCTAAGAGGGTTACGCCCCAACGATTTTCTTTTGGGTTTTATCTCCATTAGAATGGCTATATTTGATATTGGCTCGCCACGCCTATCACAACCCTCCTCCTTTACCAGGGCTTGGGACCTGCTATGTTGAGACAACATAGGCAGAGTTTTGATTTCCCAAACAACATGAACTAAAAAGCATCGAAGGGTGTAAAACAGCTATTGCAATCCAATCAGAATAAGGCTCAATTAATTGCGTATCAAACCACATGCCACAAAGGTGTAGAGCCATAGTAGTGTAAAGGGCGTACCCAGTGCAGAGAGCTCCCGCTCTGTGCGGGGTCTGGGGAAGGGTGTCAGTGGCAAGCCTTACCCTCGCCTGTGCAATGCGAGAAGACCGTGACTCGAACCCGGGACCTTTCGGTCACAGGCGGTAAGACTCTACCGCTTGCACCAAGCCCGCCCTTCAATAGAGCCATAGTAGTGTAATACCATTAAATTATTTTGTCAATTTGATTCTCTCGGTAGGGGCAAAACACTATGTTAGAATGTGGAACCTAGAAAAAATATATTTTCTGATTAATGTAGAACCTACAAAAAACTATTTGCACAAGGTATCCATTCCGTGAGACAATTGACCTTACTTAGTGAGAACATATTGACTACATAATTATGTTCAAGGCTTAGCATGCTATGCAATCAATACACTAAAACAAACATTGAATGCATGTGACATGGACATCACTTAGTTATGAATGTATCCAAACTTGGTGAGTAGACACAACCTTCTTAGAGTTCACTTCTTTATCAACTTGTTGACTTTCTGCCAATACTTTCCACTGTAATTGTAACAATGCTCTTTGATTCTCCTCCTGCACCATAGAATGCTTTGAGTATTTACTAAAGTGGCTATCTTCAAAAGTCAAAACGACGAAAATACCAACGAGGCAATCACCACCTTGGACTTCTGAAGCTCCAATTCCTCCTACATCCTCTGGCATTCTTCCTCATGATGCATCCTTAGTGATTTTATTTGAAGTTCATGCTCTTTTCTGAGCAATGACAGCCTCTACATATTTATACAGATTTCATCAGTATGGAAAACTTCTATGATCAAAGCATGTTTCAGAATTTGTTACTGACCTCCCTCAATTCAATCTCAGCACGAGACTGAATGCGCTGCAGTTCTTCTTTGTGATAAGCCCACAGAGTTGATTCTTTATGCTCATTATCCTGCTGAATTCTTGCCACCTGAATATCAGCAAATGTAGGTCCACTACTTATGCAATGTAGGTCCATAAGTTATAGCAATAACAGTTTGAAAGTCTAAAATTTTACAGGAACATAATTTTAAAATGGTTTATTTGATATCGTGCTGCGGAACATCATATCTAAGCTGCTGCGAAACCAAAGGGAAACCGAAGTGTTATTGGAGCCTCAAATTTCATCAGCAGTATGTTATGAGCTGTGTGCCAGATGAATATAATGTAAATCACTAAACTCATCTTCAGTGCTTACCCTAAAGTACCTAGAAATAATCTTTAAACTAATTGACCTTAGGTTATTTTGGTATGGTTTTCTTTTTATCAACATGGCAAGGCCATTTAGGAACAGCAATTTGAAAAAATGAACACCGAGGACGTCTGGTAACATTTTGATGTACTAAACCTTTTCAGCAGAGAACCCTTAAAAGAAAGTCTCCATGCAAGTCTGTATAAAAGTCCAAGCTATCAGCACCTTAACACATTGGCTTACTTTGTTCAACTATTTCAGCACCAACGTTTTGCATCATTCTATGTCATAACACATGCACTAAGTCTTAAGGAAGAGTAAACTTAATTGCTTAAAATGAATAAAACCAAACTCATTCAACTTACCATTGTGCCATGTTCCTCATTAAGCCAAATCAAATACCTCTCAGAATCATACTTGTTCTGTGATATCTTTTCATTGCATTTGTTTTCAATTTCCCTTATGAGCTTTTCTGCCTGAATTTCCAAACATTCATAAAAAATATGGCATAAGAATAACTTGAGCATTCTAGACATCTAGCACAAAAAAATCTGAAATAGAAGCTAACTTGCCTTTTCTTTTTCGGCATTAGTAATTTCTATCTTTTCAAGCTCATATTTCTTACGGATTTCATTGATCACCTGTAAAATTCATTTGCAAAAACTGTAGTTTATTTGCGATCCAGATGCCAAAGTACTCCGCAACTAATAGAAATGTAATACCTTGTCATTTTTGAGAGATAGCTCTTTCAACTGCTTGGATAGCTCTATCTTTTCACCTTCAAGCATGAGATCATACTGTCTTTTTGCCTCACTAAGTTGGCACTCTGTTGAAGAAAGTGATGCTTCGACCTGGGCATTGGATTCAAAAGGCTGTGTTAAGTACTTATGTTATCTATAAGCCATCACATTATGATATTTAAAAGATCTAAAAAACACAAACCTGTAATTTCTGGTCCTCCAAAGTCTTCTCTCTTTCTACAGAACAATGATAGAATTGCTCCTTCTCATCCAGAACACTGCGAAGCTGGTTGATCTGATTCTCAAGTGTATTAACCTGCTGGTCACGCTTAGTTATCTCTCCTTGCAGAGACTCAGCATTATTAGATTTCTCTTCCATAATGGATTGCACTTGGCCTAGAAGCTCCTGATTATCTGATTCTAGGTTCAAAATCTTTTGAAGGAACTTTTGCTGCATATACAATATCATGAGTAAGGAAGCTTACACGTCATCAATATTTTTTCAATAGAAAATGAATTTGTGACTGGGCCAGATAGTTGACAAACCTTGTGATTTTCAGCAAGGGTAGAATCTTCTAGCAACTTTTGAATTCTCCCTTGTAGTTTAGAAGCTAATTTTTCTAACTTATTGATGTTGGAGGCAGAAACTTCAGCTTCAGACTCTAATCTTCTGATCTTATCTTCAGCCACTTGGCATTCCTCAACATGTTGAACCATAACAATTTCTTGAGTTCTCTGCAACTCTATGAGTCTGGACTTCAGTTCTTCAATTTCAGTTTTCAGAGCACTGTTTTCTGACGTCAAATCTACATACTGGCTTTGGAGATGTTCAAATTTATCCTTAGAAGATCTTGCCATTAGCATTTTCTCCTCTTGGGCCATTTCATAGAACCTTTCAAATGAAGAAATCAGCCTAGACACATGACTTGACACAGAGGAATGCTCTTTATCTAGCTCAGTTACTTTAACCATGAAGCTGCTAAGCAATTCCTTAAGATCCTTATTGTCCTGGCATAGTTTTTCAATTTCCAGAATGTATCCCTTATTCATAAGCTCCAAGCTGTTCTTTTCACTTTGCACTGCTTGCTAGGTTTCCTTTCAGGCTGATACAAACGTCATCTTTTAACTTCAGCTCTTGCTCCATGCATTGCAAGCGGGAGTCAATACATATCAAGCGGGATTTATTTTCCTCAACTGAACCCTCCAACTGCTTGATGAGGGAATCTGCATATATAAGTTCAGTTATATTATTCAGGTTAATGCTGTTGCATGTTAGGCACACCTCAAAGTGGAAACCACTGGATGAAATATCATATTTCATTTCCTCAGTTTGGGAATGAAACAAGTGGGATATTGAAATGAATAGAAAAAGGAACCAAAGAAGTCAGCAATTTTATGGACTTATTCATCACATTTCTACTTTTCTACTACTTGCCCATTCCCAGCTACTTTGTTCCTGTATACTATTGATGCAGTTTAATTATATGACCAATACCAATTCTGACACATCATTTGTTACAGAAAAATTAACTTATACCTTTTTCCTTTATCGTAGTATCATTTGAATACAGTCGTTCCTTGTACCTTTGATCCATCTCTTCTTTCTCTTGTTTGATCTGCAACATCTCCTGTCGCCCTAAAATTAACAGGACAAGAGACTTTATTGTCACATTATTTCAGAAACACTTAGAGCACTGCAGATTATTGTTTACTCAGATATTAATGTATCATATCAGTGTACGCAGAGGTACAGAACATGTGCACAGTTTATAGTATAAGGTTACTAAGTTGTTGATTCTAAACAGATCTCCATGAACTTGTGCTGATTGTGGATTGTTCAGAGACCGACCAACCTGAAATTATCTTTTGTTCCGCATCCTCCAGTTTTGTTGATAAATCACCCAACAGGCAGTTGAATTCGTCCAGATCTTTGGAATTCTTCCCAAGCATCTCCTCAAAAAACTTCTTATCTTCCTCAGCTGTAAGTGTATTGTTTCACCAGTGACCAGTCAGATTTGAACAACAGTTGGGCAAAGTAAATGTCACCATAACTTACCTTTTTCTGTCTGACTAGCTAGCTGCTGCAGTGTTTCAGTCAGTTGATCACACAAGGTCTTTGTTGAGGAGAGTTTCCAATCTAATCCCTGCCAGAGCTTCGAATCTTCAGTCTGTTTCACCTTAAGCTTTGCATTTTCATTCACAGCTTGTTGAAGTTTTCCCTCTAAAAGGTTTATCTGTTCTGTTGCTCTTCTCAATTTGACATGCTGAATTCATATAAAACGATATGCATCAGTAATAAGAAATCCTGACGACGACCAGAATAATAGTTGGTATAGAAAAACAATGATACATGCCTATAAACTCACTTCACACTTGAGCCAATTTAACCTATTGCACAAGAACATTAGGTAACTGCAGCAACGACATATACTGTGCCGCTCTGAATTTAATAGCACTATCCCCACCAAACACATAATAGATTCCTAAGAGGCAATGTCTCTTGTTTAGCTAAGCTCAGGATCAGCACAAAAGAAGAATATACAGAACAAAACAGTGACAAATGGGAAGGTGGACTTCCCCAGCAATGCTCGGAGCTCTTTCACAGGAAAAGTATGAATTCAAAGAGTACATGCATCCAGAAAATAATTAGAGTGATTCTTCTTTTTTTACAAAAATGAGAGTGACTTTGGCGATACTGAAAAGGTACAACATCCAATTCCAACATACCAAAGGTCAAATTACTCAACACACAATATATATGTAACTTTCAGGGACATAAACAAGGGGAACGCTGCAAAGAGAGTAAAATCACGAGCCTCAGACTAGCTACAGAGAGTGCAGGCTTCGACTTCGAACGACCGGGGTAAATTTCAGGAATGATTCCAATTTATGCAACTGAATCATACGAGCTATACATTGAGCCAATAAAGTTCCACCACAAGGCAAAAACCTTGCAAAATGTTGAGAAATCATACCGCCATTTCTAGATCAGTATTCACTGAAGCCTGCTCGTCGACCGGTTTCTCTGCAACCAAACAAAAATTCCAAGAGAAATCAGTAACGACACAGATTAATATAGCTTGTCAAACCAAAGTGGAGGCAAAAACGAAATCACCCCCAGTATCCGGGGAGGGCCTGGGGTTTGCGGCCTCCATGGCCGTCGACATGGATCCAGCGAGGGATCGGAGCCCCAAGAGCTCCTGCATCCTGTCAACGGTGGCAGACCCAATACAGGGACATGGGTGAAAAGTTAGCAGGCATCAAATAGCCAAATAGCTTAGGGTTTGGGTGCTCGGTTTCGCACGGCGGGAAGGTAAGAGAAGAGGTGGGAATACCTGATGGGTGCTCGTCGCCGGAGAGAAGACCGACGAAGGCCTCGGCAGGGCGGCGGTGGTAGCCCACACCCAGTCGTCGCAGAGGGAGAGAGAGAGCACCGAGCACGCGGGTGAAGGTGAATCGTGAATGGGGATGCGGGATGCGGGGGATCAAGCGAGCAAGCGCGCGCGCACGCCCGGGTTCCGTTGGGGAATCTTCTAGAATTTAAGAACCGATGACTTAATTTCAAGAACGTTGCCGTTGGTGACGATGGTCCGTGGCTACAAAAGGCCGCATGGATGGGCGTGGCCACTCGGCCCAAAGCGGGCGTGGCAACTCGGCTCAAATAATCGGGCCTGCTCTGGCTTAGCAAATATTCAGTTAATTTATTTACTTTTGTTCATTCCCTCAAAAAAAATACTTTGCTCAAAAAGTTAATTTATTTATTAAGCTCAAAAAAACAATTTATTTACTTTTCCCCCCAAAAAATAATTCGTTTACTCTTCTTTAAATTAATTTTTATTCTTATATATACATGTAAAAAACTAAAAATATGACAATGCCAACCGGAATCGATAGGCCACCTGACCTTGAGGACCAGGCAGCCTGAGCCTGATACATTGGGGGAGATGCTAGCGCCTGGACGTCCGGCGCTAGCAGCGTGCGTCTGGACGCTCTATGCCTGTTGCCTGAATATATCGTGCATGCTGCCATCTGGAGCAGCAGCGACGGACCTACGCCTAGCCACGCACTCCAGTTGCCCGCATGCTGCTGCTGCTGGCGCGTGATGCTATTGCTGACCAGCCGCATCCAGTTGGAATAAGGAGAGATAGAGCAGCTAAGCATGCATGTAGCTTCGTGCTCCACGTCCAGCTTTGTGCACGCGGGTACCGCTACGCCCAAGGGAACCACCTCTGCCTGCGCCCCTAGCCACGCCTGCTGATGAAACACTTGCAACGGCTGCAACATACGTCCGAAATAGATGATGAAACATTTACAACATACGCTTGCAACATATGTGTATGGGCACTGCAACATATGTAACATCTAGATAAAAACACTTGCAACATACGTTTGAAATAGGTGAAACATACACTTGCAACATACGTGTATAGCTAGTGCAACATATGCAATATCCAGATAAAACACTTGCAACATACGTTTAAAACAGTTGAAACATACAATTGCAACATACGTGTATAGTCATTGCAACATGTGCAGCATCCTGATCTACTTTTGCAACATCCGTACGAAACACTTGAAACATACATCTAAAACATCTAAAATATTTGAATTGTACACTTGCAACATGCATTATATCCTGGTGCGGCCCTGACATTGGCCTTGACGTTGCACAAAACCCCAACGAATTGCAGCTCCCCGGTGGGATCGTAGACGCCGTAGACTCCGGGCTTTGGGGGTAGGGCGTCCTCGTCAACCAAGGGCTGTGTGGGCTCCAGAGGGATGGGCACGAGGGACGCCTCTAACAGCTTCTTGAAGACAGTGATGGCGAAGAGCGGGGAGGCGCGGCGGCAGCAGAGAGGGAAGCGAAGGGTATTGGAGCACGACGAGGAGGACAACGAGGAAGACGGCGCGGAGAGGAGAGGGAAAGCGAGGCAGAGAGAAGCAGCGGTGGTGACGGTGGAAGCCATAGCCATGGGGCGGCGGTGCCGCAGTGGGGCGTCTGCTTTACGGCGGCGGCAGGAGCAGCGAGGCAGGCGCGTGGAGCAACAGCAGTAGCAGTGAGCGGCAGGCGACGGTGTAGGAGATGGACAGGTGATGAAATGACGAGATATAAGTTTTTTTTTTTTGAGCCTGACGAGATATAAGTTGTGCTAGTTGGGGAGTAGATGAGAATTAAAATTGACATGGGCCACGTCCCGTCCGTCCAATATCCAGTAAAGAGTCAGGAGCTGACATCAAGGAATTACCGTTGAGTGAAGCCCATTGCTTAGATGATCGCATGACTCTAATGTTAAGCATGGGCGCCAAAAGAGTGTATTCTTATACACGCGCAAATTTTTACTGACAACCCGGGGGAGATTCCAGTCGGAATACGGCGAAAAACAACGAATTTCTGCCCAAATGCATTAGCTTCATGCCAGGAAATGTCTCACGGCCGGCATACGGTACAACATTTCTTTACAATTACGGTGGGATACCATACCGTATCTTCAGATCTACTGATCCTATCATTAGAATTGATTTTGATTCAACGTCCATCTCACATCTCTTGGAGCAAGGCCCTCGCTTCGACTTCCATGTACACGATCAGCACACGGTTCGTCCATAGCAGATCGAAGCTATATAGAGATTCTTCGCCCATTTCTCCTACAAAGGTTTTTTGCGAGGTTAGCTTAAAATGGGTAACAGACGACACAATGGCAATGAAATCTGAAGCATTAGCATGGTGCAAGTAGATGTTTCACAAGACACATGGGGTCTCCATGGGCTGCAGGGATACCTTGACATGTGCGCTGGGGAAGGCAGAGGTCCGGAGGGTTTCTTGTGTCTCGTTCATCGGCTTCCACTTTGGCATGCTCAAGATGAAAGCAGTTTGGTCATTGGTGGCCGCTGTGGAAGTTATCCTGTAACCACTTCTCCCATCGCCGATGGATGCCTTCACTAGGGTACAGGAAATCCAACTCTACAACCTGACAATAGTTGGCGGGAGGAATGGCTTGTTAAATATTCAGGCATCAGTTGATACAATTCAGAGGAATATGGGCAAAGCACACAGCACAAATAATGCTGCATGGTCAAGCAATCATCCTAACCTGAGTGGAAAACCCTGAGTTCCTTGACATGACTACGCCCCAGCGATTTCCAGCAGTGGCCATAGATGTTACATGAAACCCTTCTTTCCACTTCTTATTGATCCACTTGTAAGGGAATGATTCGCTAACCTTGTATGATTGCTGAGTGTAAGGAGTTCCTGCAATAAAGGGCGTACCCAGTGCAGAGAGCTCCCGCTCTGTACGGGGTCTGGGGAAGGATGTAAGTGGCAAGCCTTACCCTCGCCTATGCAATGCGAGGAGACCGCGACTCGAACCCGGGACCTTCCGGTCACAGGCGGTAAGACTCTACCGCTTGCACCAGGCCCGCCCTTCAAGGAGTTCCTGCAATAGTGAAAATATATTGCCCCCAAATTATACCATAGCAGGCCCTGATAATTAATGAGCGATGCAACGGGGCTTAAAGTGGAAATTGCAAAGGAACATACAAGAGACATTAGGATTTTGTATGTACTGCTAATGGGAAAATGGTGAGAAAACAGAAGGTCAATATGCAAGTGCGAGCAATAACAAGAAAAAGTAAAATTCAGACCTTTGGACATGACAACCAATGAACTCCCATTGGTTGATCCAGCAATTGCTGTTATGTAGTAACTTTTCTCCCACTGTTCCATTATCCAGTCCTGTGTATAATTACAAACAGAGTTAGTATTCCTCGCTAAATTAATTATTGTAGGCATGGTCAAGCTTGACTCAGATAGTGCTGTACCTTGTGGAGAAAAACTGGTGAGAGCTCATAAACTTGAGAACAGAAACCAGTTCCTGCATCCATGATGAGTGCCCAAAGGTTTGCCGAGGAAGCCACACAACTAATGTAAAGCCCATCATCATTGCCCTTTTCTATGTGTTGACTTAGCCTTGAGTCAGCCACATTGTAATGGTACCTAAGAAACAAACAACAGATGTTGACAACAAAGCTTAGCAACAATAGTTCATCACATCTTAATGATCATGTTTACAAAGCTAGGTATTACTAGAGAAATGCAGCAAGTATAACCAAACTATCATGCCTTGTAGCATATAATTAAATGATTGTAATTACCTCTGCTCCATTGAGTCGCCGGGCTCCCTAATCTAACCTTCTTTTTAGGTTGTTCAACTTCTTCTAGATTTGCAAGCAATCTTCCGCGTTTCTGTCCAACCTATAGTACAGGAACAGACAAAGATAAGGCGGGAGAAATCTAACTATATATGAAAGGAGGGAATAGTAAGTACAGACCTTGAGAGCCCCATCAATTCTGATTGGTCTCGAGGCGGGTGCTTCAATCAAACCATCAAAAAGAGAGATAAGCTTGGCATAATTTGGCTCTTCGTCAAATTTCATATTTGTGACAATCTCAAGAAACTGTTTGAATGGAGCTGGACAGAAACAACAAAGCATCTCTAGAAGTGGCCATTTTCTTCTTGCAAACAAGGAAACTTTTGGTATCCCCCTACAAACATTGATACAGGCTGACGTATGCTCCAGAAGAATACCATAATGTTCAGTCAACATGTGTATTAAAACCTACCTGATAACCTTGCCAAGGCAATCTTCCTCTTATCAGGAAAATAAGGGTGTATGCCAGTGACTCTAAATCATCCCTCCTACTACCGGTGCGCCCCAAATGAGCATGGACACTCGCATATCTAATTGTTCCCCTGCAATAAGAAACAAGAGGACAGGTTAAGGAGGACCATTTATCAAATGAAACTGCTGCAATGAGAACGTAACCAACCTAAAGATATCAGGCCATTGATCATAATCAACATGATGACCATTATTCTCTCTCCACTTGGATGCTGTACAATTTGGGTACCACATATCAAGAACAAAAAGGTGGAGAGGCAAGTAGGAAAAATAACACTAAGAAAATATATTTAGTTTCAAAGAAACAATGGTGACATGGCATAGTAATAAATACTTAGTTAAAAACTATTTGACAAATGCATACCTAAACCAAGATCTATAAGGTAAAGCTTCTTATCATCAGCAGATCCAGGCTGACCAAGCAGAAAATTCTCTGGTTTCACATCACCATGCACAAACCTGGCAAACAGAGGATCTTAGTGTAAATCAACAGTCAAACATACATCTAAGGACGTTCAGTTGAAGATAGCTAGTTTTAGCTCACCCTTTAGAATGGAGCTTCTCAAGAATCGATATGCCCTCTACAGCAATGCAAGCAGCCATATTTGCAGACATCCTGTTTGAGATTGTTGAATCATTTAGTCTAGAAGCTGATACATGAGTGACAAAAGATAACATAAAAAAGAATGGAAGATACTTACGTCTGCCCCATTGAATTCCACACATCCCAAAGGCTGGGACCAAGCATATCCATTACCTGGAAAAAAAATAAGTGAATAAAAATTGTTGAGCTGCTAAGAAATAGAGTAATAATCAGTGAACTCACAAGTATATAGTAGTTGCCCTGACAACCCTTGTAGTGGACCGATGGTATGCCATAGCAACCATTGAGAATGCTAGCAAACAATGCCAACAGTCAGAAAGAAATAGTCCCCATGAAAAAGGAAAGACGACGGGATGAGCAACATACTTATAAACCTGCCACTCGTATGGGGGCCATAATTGCATCCTTTACTGTTCCGATGCTCGAATTTCAATGCAACCTACAAAATTTTTACCATTGATTGGATTTATGTAAGGAAAAAATGCATCAAATTCATAAAAAGGTGTAAGTGACAAGCCTCATATGCATCAGGACCAGTGCGAGCATTTCCACCAGAAACCCTTCGGCCAACATAGACCTGACCAAAACCGCCTTTACCTAACTTCCTGTCAGTTATGTACTCTGGAGAATTACCTACTTGAACCTGCAGAAATAAAATAAGACTAGGTGACCCCAAAAACTCCTGGAAATAAGTAATTACGTCCAAGTTCAATATAAACCATTGTACAGCGAAAGGGCCTCTAGCTGAGTTGGTTAGGTGGCTTTAGTAGCACTCCTCAGGTCTTGGGTTCAATTCCCCGTGGGAACGAATTTTCATGCTGGGGTTAAAAAAAATCCACTCGTCTGTCCCACGCCAAAGCACAGGTCTGGCTCTGGCCCAGGCCCCGGTCGTAGTTGTTCTCACATGGGCTACAGTGCCGCTGTGTATGGGTGGGGCAGGTGTGAGAGGGTCTTCTTCATGCAATGGCCGGGAGCTATCTTAACCCCCCCCCCCCCACACACACACACACACCCACCCACACAGATCAAGTTTTTTAATAAAACCATTGTATAGCAGCCTTTTCTGATTTTATGCAACAAAGCAAGGCAATAGGCTTTCAGTTGTAATTTGAATGTACTACTGCACCACAGGAATTTTTTTTACCAACAGTTTCTAGGCTATGAATAACAATACTACAACTCTGCATAACTAGTTACCTTTTTTACAACACCACCTTGGGCTTATAGTCTGGATGCAGATGGGACTAGAAACGGCAAGCATGGTGCCATGGTTAGTAGGCATGTGATTGGACCCTTTTGGTGTTAAATGGACTAATCTTTTGGAACATTAAGGGCGTCCTATGCCAGGCAATCTACTGTGGCTATGACCCAACTAGAGTTGAAGGTAACTAATTGGTGAACCCTTACTCGAGCCACAACAAGTATGTTTTTACAGGATTTGGAATGCTTCCTTTAACTAAATAATAGGTACCACAGCATAACAATAAATGCCATGCAATCCCAAGGACTACATTGACTTAAGGGCTCCCGTGCAAAGCATCATGGGAAAATGACATGATTTCTATCTTTTTTTGTGTTTAAAATAGAGGCGACAATCCAATAAAAGCTAGTAAAAACCAGTGTGTTTACGCAAAGCTAGAAAAAAAATACTGTGTTTGTGTGATTAGGTGAGCTGCAAACAGATAAAATAAACTAGGAAATAAAGAAGGCAAATGGCAGTCCATGTGGAGAAAAAATGCAAAAGAACAAGTAATACCCTCTCTGGGACAGGTGTAGCTGTCGATTCATCTTCAGCCCCAACAATCTTCTCCACACTTTCACCATCCATTTTCGGAACACCAACCTCGGGTACCTTCTTCGAGGGAAGGTTCTTGGGTGCAGCAACAGCAGCAACTTTCAGTCCCTTGGCAGCTTTAGAGGGGTCTTCACAAGCTGGATCAGCTTCTAAGTCGGCAATCTCAACCCCCTTTCTTCTAGGATTCGGTGCGGGAGGCGCTCCTCTCCCAGCGGCACCCTTTCTGCCCCTAGCAGCACGTGTAGGAGCACGCTTTGCTGCCCTCTGCGGAGCAGGTGGCACCGGTTTCGCAGGCGGCTCTCCTGGCTGCAGATCGTCGAGCTTCTTAGACCTCAGGCGCGCTTGACGAGTACTGCTTCGCAGCTCTGGCATCCTCTCCCCATAAAACTCGGGGCAGCGTCCCAGCCCTCCGAGCTCCTTCCAATCTCCACATGCAGACACAGTTACAATCATTCATCAATATAAAGAACAACAACAAATACTGCAAAGAACACACATCAACACCACTCTAGCAACCTCTCCATCTAGGCATCTGCCAACATCCCCAAAAGAACAATCAAACTAAGACTGGGCACGGCCGAGGACGGCAGACTAATAGAGGTAAAAGGAGGGGGAGAATCAGCTGAGCCGGATCCTCATCGCCATCAAGGGACGTCCAGCTTCCCTACCACCACACCCTTTGCCGAGGAATCGAATGTGCCAATCGGCACCAAAAAGGAAAGGCAAAATTTGCTACAGGACATGCTAAGTGGCCCCTCTTTGCCAGCGGACATGCAAAATTTGGTGATTTGCTGGTGGACACTCTGGTTCCTTACAAATTTGCTGGTGGACACCCCATCCAATAAAATATTACTTTCTAGCTGCTGTGGAGAGAGAAGGGCGGTAAAATGTCCAATTTGCCCCTGCCCTTTCTTCTACACCTCTTTCTTCTTCCCCATCTGCTCCGAGCAACACCGCGTCCTCCCTTCTCCCTCTCCAAGCAGCACCTCGGCCCCACAGCGCCACAATCGACGGCGGCTGCGCCCCTCCTCCGAGCCACACCTCTTCCTCCCTCCTCCCTCCCCCTCCGAGCAGCACCATGGCCAAGCAGGGCCACCACCGTCATGGCCACCGTGGCTGCTGTAGCTGTGAAAGCTGCTTTCAAGGCGGCTGGCCACCTGAAGCTTCCTCCCGCGTCCACTGCACCGTGTGGACCGAGCCTACACCCACCACCCGCACCGCCCTCGCTCGATCTGTTCATCCCAAGACGCTGTCAGGTCGAGTTAAGGGCGCCATTGACGGCTCAGACGTGAAGCTCATGACCCGGCTCTCCTCCTCTCCTCGACCCCTATAAAGAGTGCCTCGGACTCCTCTCTTCGCTTGGCGTCACGCCTCGCCCTCCCGAGCTCCCTCCCGCACCGCAGCGACCACACTTGCCACCGCGGCCGCCATTGACGACCCCTTTTAAGTTCCACGACCCGGCCATCCTTCCCCTCTCCGCCCTATTTAAGGGAAGCACTGCACCGCGATGATCGACGCCGCCACCCACGCCCCTCCTCGAGCCTCCTCTCTGCTGTCAAAGGTGCCTCGAATCGTGCGCCGCCGCCATGGTCGACACACAGCTCGAGATCATCGATCTCCCCGTGCACACCTCCTTTCACCACCCCGTTTCCTCCATTGGAACCGCGGTGGCATGGCACGTCCGCCCAACCCCTCAAAGGCCTCGATTCAAAGCCGCAGCACCTTCCCCTGTCCTCGCCGGAGCTCCAAGCCGAGCCATCGCCGTTGCTTCTGTCTTCCTGGACACGAAGGCAGCGAACCACGACCGTCCGATCTAAGATGGGCAGTTCAGATCCTATGTTGACCACCGGTCAACCAGTCAAAGGTGAGGCCACATCACCTATATGAGCCAATCCTATCGCGCCACGTAGCCGTCAAATGCCACATCAGCTGAAGTCAAGCCCAGTGATCATAGTTTTACCGTGTGTGGGCCCTGCGCCGCCGTGGCCAGAGGAAGGAGACCGAGAAACAGCCAGGGGCAGAAAGGACATTTCCCATGCTTCTCTCTACTCGAAAGCCCAGAAATGAATATTTTATTCGGTCCGTGTCCACCAGCAAATTTGTAAGGAACAGCAAATCGCCAAATTTTGCGTCCGCTAGAAAGAGGGGTCACTTGGCAGGTCCTGTAGCAAATTTTGCCAAAAGGAAAAGTGAGGGGAGCATCCCACCATCCCCATCGCCGGATGCACCGCGCCGATTCCCACCCGACGGGGAAACAATTCTCGGCTTTGCCCACCAGATTACCGCCGGTCAGGCAACAGATCGCCACACACCCGCAACCAACCCCAAATCCCGACCCGAAACCCAGCGAAACCCGCGTCTCTCTCACCCAAATCCACCGCCTGCGCAACCCCGCGACCGAGCCTTGACGAACCCAGCCCGCCCGCGGCGGACGCATCCGGGGGCGCGCCCCTCATCGGATCGATGCTTCCCGCGAATGGCCGGCCGATCGCGCGGGAACCGTGCCCCCGAGCACCGCCCAGCGACCCCAGAAAAATTCAAAAAAAAAAAGATGCGGCAAGACGACGACGCTGCAGACATCGCATCGGCTGCGCAGGGAGAGAGGGAGCGCGGATGCTTACATCGGCGACCGGCGGCGGGGACGGGCGCGGAGGAGGTGGCCGGATTCGTCGCCTCGAGCGCCGCGCGCGCGCGTGGGGGGCGGGGCGGGGGCGGTGAGGTGGGGAGGACGAGGAGGAGGCAGGGCAGGCAGGCACGAATTGTTGTGGAGCTGCTCGTTCGTCCCCGACTCGTGCGTGCTCGCGTTGGGTTTGGTTTTGGATAAACGCGGCGCGCCACCCTCGTGGGTCGTGGACTCGTGGTGCATGGAGTGGAGTGAGCGGGCGACGGGCCGTGAGGATGCCGAGTGGGCCCGTCTTGTCAGTGGGTTGCCTCTCCTGGCCGCTACCGGATAAGACGTGGAGAAAACGACTAGAGTTCGACTTGGGTCCTAAATTAAACCCCGAAACTACCGAAACCAAGTTTTTCCCATATCAAACTTGGGCCGTTTAAACATTTTTGTTCTTCTCGTCAAAATTCAAAATTATGAGAAAGTGGGTAGCAAGAAATGGTGCTAGAGTTATTATAGCAAGTTTTTTGCTCATCGAGTAAGAAACCAAATCAATATAGTTATGGACTAATGACAACAGGAACCGACGTGAGAAAAAACTTAAGGCTCCAGCCCTAAGAAGTTGTGTTACTGATATAACCAAGTCAAAATCAAAATTCAAGGCGAAGTTTGGAGTCGAACGTTTGTAGAGTCCTAGTTTACGTTTTAATCAAACATGCATGAGGATATGGCAAGTTTCTTCATCAATTAACCTTAGGATCAAGATGGGATAAAATCCTAATCTCATGCGTGAAATGTTTCTACGGCTCCAAATATGTAGATTGTAGCGTCACTTCGAATTTCAAAACTAGAGTCTAATAGATTCCTAATCCTAGCTACCTTTCAAGGTTCAAATCCATGTTTCATGCATAGTTTATCTCTGATTTGGTCCTTGTGTGCATATCCAATTCTTATGGCTTATTATCTTTTAAATGTCACATTTCAATATACGAATGCAAGCTAGAGCCATATAGAAATACGAAAATTGGCATGGGTGCCATTAGTTTTTTGGCACATGGTTTATGTTTTCCAACCTCGAAATTGTACCTAACAGGTTGTAGTTGCACAATGAAACATTCATGATGGTTTTCATTAGAGTTTTTCTCACCACGTATATCTTGTGAACTTGTAATAAAGTGCCTTCGTTAGTGATCTGTAAAAAAATAGCTATCAAAGGGAATCTCAAATGCCATCATCAGCCCCTATTTTTTGTTACTAGTAATTAGGGAATCCCCATGGCAAACTTGGACGAATGAAACTTAGTATGGTTATAACAAACCGACTTGCAGGATGTTTGGATATGTATAATTAGTTGCTAAAATTATATCTAAGGGATCGAAATGGTCGGGCTAATAGTTTAACCAAAAGCCTGAATTGAACTATCTAGGTAGTAGTGAAAATCTATTAGCTAAGAGCATCTCCACCAAATCTCTTATATTGCATCCCCCTATAAGTTGTTTTAGAAAGTACCTTAAAGTCAATTTAGGATATAAGAGAGGACTATCGTAGCGGATTACCTAAAACTTGTCTTCTTGATAAGAGAGAGGGGATTGTCTTTTTATTTAGGAGAAAAGATTTTTCTTTTAGAAGATCTCTTAAAAAATCTCGGTAAAGGAAATGAGATATGAGATCTGTTGCAGCACTTACATCTCCTAAAATACTACTTTTTAGGTATAGGAGGTGGGATATGATATCCGGTGGAGATGCTCTAACTCCCCTTCAACTAGAATGCAGAAAGATATTAGCTCTAATTGTTCCAAGCAAATGAGACGCTGGCCTACATAATTAATAAAAAAAAACTATTAGCGCCCTCCTTCCATTTGATACAAAGCAGAAGCTTTCTCCCTTATACACACTTTGCGTTTGAATAATCCAATCTATGGCATGTTTGTTACAGCTTCACGGAAGTGCTCCCATACTGATTGTAGTGGAACCCCTCCCAAACAAACTTTTGTATAGAGTTAATTTTGTGATTATGTCAAGTGATTTTCTAAAGTGAACTAAGGGCCGAGAGATGGAAAATATTTTTCTTATTCACTTCCCACATAATAATCACTTTGTCAATGTATTTTTATCAGAGAAAATAAAAAAAACCCCACTTTTAGTCACAAAGTTAATTTCTAAAGTCCTAGCCTCCTTGCTAAAGTGAACTAAGAGCTGAGATATGGCATTCTAATTGATCTAACACTTGTGTGAGCTCTCAGAACACCTCCCACTAATCTCCTTGCTAGTTGCTTGATCGAAGGTGAGACTGAGAGACATTTAGTGCATTTGTTTATTTGTTTTGCATTCAATGGCACTAGTTCATTGTTCGAACACTGGATTTCTTGTTACTCTTAGTGGTTGCCACCACCTAGATGGCTCGATGGATTGAAGGATTGTTAAGGGGCTTGTGGTGATTGTTTGCCGCCTCCGGTCAAGTTGTTTGTAATGGGCTCTTCTGCTTACCCCGTGGGAGATCGTAAAGAGCAACTCTAGTGGAATGCTTGTGGCTAATTGGAATGCTCTTTGTGTTTGATTCTTGCGGCACCCAAGTTGTGGGTCTAGCCTGAGTGGCTAGCTAGCACGTGAATCACTCCCCTTGAGATTCGCCACAATGAGGACTTAGGTTGTCGGCAAGCAACCAATCCTTTAGGGATAAATTTATTATCTTCCTCTTGTCTGACTTGGTTTGCTACTCACACTTGTGCATTTACTTTCATATTATTGCTTGTGTGTAGTTGGTTGCCAAGTTGTAGTAGTTGTTAGTTACTAGAAGTAGCTAGTTAGTTGCTTCACTAGTTAAGCTAGAACGAGAGTAGTGCTAGCCTCCTTTGTTTTTGAGTGCTTAGTAGTTGTATTAGACTTATGGATGGCAACGGGGATGTACCCATCGGGTATCGCCAGAACGTTCTCTTCCCCGCTACGGAGAATTCATCCCGTCCCCGTCTCAGTTAACTGTCTCGGGTATAGATTCTTGCCCATCCCCGTACCCGTCGGGCATCGGTCGGGTAACAGATACCTGACGGGTACTGCATACCCGATAAACAAGGACACTTGGGGTCGCAGCTTTGCAATCGGAGATGTTTCTTCTTCACCCGGGTATAAGTGTCGGAGTCTCGGAGATGTCGAGGAGAAGGAGCGAGGTTGCGAGGAGGACGAGCAAAGGTGGCAGAGAGACCGAACTGAGGAAGCGAGGGGCACGAGCGCTCGTGAGGCAAGCGTGCTTGTGCTGCTGGCGGAGATGGTGAGGAAAAATTGAATTAGGGTTCGTAGAACACACAAACTATATATATATATGATTGTTCAGATTTGAGTCAAAATACCTATGTTGAGCTTTTTTGGGCCTAATACTCGCATGACAGCTCAAATAGTCGGGTTCTCCAACGGGTAATGGGGACGGGTAAACAGGGAACGTTCCCGTACCCGCTATACCCGTCGGGGATGGATTCTTGCCCCATTTAGATACCTGTGGGTAAAGATATAATCCCATCCCCGTCCCCTAATGGATCAAATACCCGTCGGGTATCGGGGCCCCGTTGCCATCTTTAATTAGACTTACTATTAGACTTGTGTAATATAACAGAAACGACCAATTATATGAAATTAAGTAAGAAAATCATCCGCCAGAGTAGACGATTTAGCAAACTTAAGCCCGTATAACCCGGTAGTCCGTGAAATCACGAAGGATTTCAAACCAACTTCCATTCCAGCCAAGATCGTAATAAGTTTAGCGGTCACCATCACATATTACATAAAAGTTTGCATCTCAGATACATAAGAGTTTAAACATAGTTATTACAAAACAAGTTCGAATAAAAGTAGCGGAAGTCATTTGTTCAAACCACACACACACTCACACAGAGTTTAAATACAGTGCCAACGAATGATCATCTCCAACAAAAGCATTAGACGAGACGTAAGGAATGACCATGCCCATGGTCCTAAGCATCACCCATCGCAGGATAAAGGCAGTTGATACAGTAGCCGTAATACATCTGCCCATCTGCAACAAGTAGGAATAAAACCCTGAGTACGAGAAGGTACTCAGCTAGACTTACCCGACATAACTGAAAATAAATGACACCAAGGATTATGAAGGTTTTATAGTAGGGTAGCTGACTCATTTGCAAAGAAAACATTTTTAGCATTTCAAGAACCTTTCTAAAGAAATTATTGCCAAGTTAATTAATTATAACCTATCGACTAAATTTGTACCTACACTAGAGCAAACATGTGATTAAGCCAATAATGATAACCAACGATCATTAACAACTTCCATACTGTCATATTCATTATAACTTTCCAATGTTCCATCAACATTACTACGATGAAGTCACTCAAGTCAAGTGCTCACTATCCAGAGCGATGGTGGAATCGATTCCTAACCAACTAGTGATTTTATTCCTTACACAAACCTCACTCACCCGCTAAAGTGAGATATTGATCACCGAAGTCAACTTTCCGTGTATCTCGAGTTTGCCAGAACCACATGTACCCGGGGTAAACCGATCGCACTTTGGTCTTATCATCTCGCCTGTGTCCTACCACACCGCTTTCCGCAAGACAAGGGCATGGGCAATCTACTCTGCCTCGAAAAATCTCCCACCTTCATGGTCGGAAGGTACTTTATCCGGCTAGCTAAATGTAAGGCATGCTCAACATGACTCGAGGCCCAACAACGGTCGGTCCTTAATCGACATGAGATGGAAACACTCTGGGTCAAAACTCGCAAGTCTCCGTCCGGTCTCAACTTCATTTAACACTTAGTTATACCATGACTTCATAGTCATCCAAGCAGATCCAGTAACCACCTATAGCTCGCAGTGACAGAAATCACCCGACTTCTACCGGTCTAAGCCCACTAAGCATTGACTCGATTGGATACCAAGGTAACAAGGATATAGTATAACAAAGGTAGACAAGGTATAATGCAAAGAACGGTTGCAAACAACTCCCGAACATAATGCATCAATTAAAGTAAAGCATTTAATTAAATAATTACAAACCGGGAGAAAATGCTCGGGCTTGCCTCTCTCGAAGGAGCTCGGATGGTGATCGGGGCACTCGGAAGTTCCTCAACGCCCTCCTCGCTTCGCACGGCACTTCTGCGGCTACACCTTAACCGCTCCTCGGGCTCTTTTGTATGACGACGGGTTCTCGGTTTGCGATCCTATATGATGCAATGTGCGTAAGTGCTTATGCAATCGGTGCATCGGATGAGATGAATACAATGGATATGTTTGAATGCAAGGTAGTCAACATCATCCAAGAAAATATACTACAAGCATATGTCATCTACTGCATTCTCTTCTACTACTAATATGTTAAGTCAACACATCTTATTAAATGCTTCAAAGATACACCAAAGCTAACATTATTAACTAACTTGCATTAAAGAGAATTATTTTATTTCATTTTAAACTAGGGCTACAACAGCAACCTATATTTCTGGTGCTTATAAAAATCTAAGAAAATTACAGTAGCATATTACTACTCTAAGTAGACTATCCGAAAATTTTCATGGCGTTTGGATAAGTAAAATAGTCTACACAAAAATGACAAGGCATGGCAGGATTATGAACATAAAAATACTTTGAACTGTGAAAAGTGTCAAACAACAGAGTTACTATTTTTCCTAGGTTCTTCATAGCATACAATGGCTGTACAAAAATTATCACATGCATGTTTTATACAAAGTTTGCTCTCTAACTAAAATAACAAAAATCAGCCATTAAAGGTACTTGAACTACACCTCAAAATTTTCCCACAGCACATGCATGAAACATATTTTTCCTAGGAAGTACATGACATATGAAGATTAACAAACTTGGAATCATATTTTTCTGAAGCCTATAGATTTTTCTACATATTTTCAAGTTATCAGCAATATACATGATTAAATAAAATTCTACAGCAAAGTATCTCAAAAATGACATGCAATAATTTTTCCAAGTAGATCTAGTGATAAGGATCCTATCAAAATTTATTCCAACAGATTTGGAGCTAAAAGGAGTACACAAACATTTTCTAAAGCATTTAAATGTAAATCAAAATCATTTCTTAAACCCTTTTCAAAATCAGCCTTTGGTGCATCCGGTGTGATCATGCCATGGGACCCACGGTCAAGCCGGACCCACGCTGTCACTGGAGCAGCCAGAGGGAGATTGATGATCGGCTGGCTCGCCGACCATGGCGAGGTCCCCATAAAACGGAGGGCACCAACGTGCTCCCCATGACAAACCACGTCGGACAGAGGTGAATAGGGAGGGGTCAGTGCATGGGAGAGAGGCTCACCGACCACGGCAATGGCGGAGCGACGCGCGCAGTAGTCGCCGGTGGAGTGCAGTATGCATAAAGGAGGCGCCGGGAGACTCATCGTCATAGTGCGGTGCTTGTGCTTGGAAGGAAAGCGGGAAGAGAAGCGGGAGGGGAGTCACGGAGCAGAGCTCACCAGTGAGTTTTCGGTGCAGCTCTGGGGCGAGCAATTCCCAAGGAAGGAGGCTTACCACGGCAAGAAGCGCGAGCACGCGGGCGCTTGGGTGAAGGGTAAGCAGCGAGATGGAGTGGTCGCCATGTAGCCTGTGGTGGACGGACGAGCCAATTCCGCGAGGGAGTCAGTGGCGGCGGTGTGGCGGTGCGCGACACTGTGTCTTGCCCGGCGAAGCGAGAAGCGAAGGCGGAGGAGCAGGAAATGCGTCGGGCGAAGCTCTGGGAGCTTAAGTTGGGCCCTGCATGCGCGCGTGGTGGATCGCGAGTCAGCCACGGCGACGGTGGCGCACGGTGGTGGGCAAGCTCGACGCTGGCCGAGCGTGAGCGCAAACCACTGGAGAAGGAACAATGGATTTGAGTCAGTCGTCGCCAGTTTTGGAGAAGTAGGCGGCGGCCCGGTAAGAGGGAAATGGAAATTTTTGATTTTATTTTTAAGGAAATTTCAAAAAGCAGTTTTCAAATACCCCTTTGAGCAAGAAAATGACTTTTTTTTAAAATGGACCAAAAATAAAAATTGCTTAGAACTCAATCCTCTACAACTTTGCTTTTATGACCAAAGCCAAATTCTTTCTAGATTTTGAATTGAAAAATCAAAGTCCATGTTTAACTCAAAACCCTAATTTTCGGGAAATTACTTTGGAAGCAAAATTTTTAATTAATTTTAATACAAACCTTGCTCCAAAAATTGAACTACATAATCCTAGATGATTTACAATAGTAGCCAAACAGGTTTTACTAATCCTAGCAAGCAAAATCAGGGCAAAACAATTCTAACAAAGGTATGCAACATTCGGGTTTCACAACATGTTTCAATTGTTTCGAAGCAGTGTTTCAATTGTTATTTACATGATTAAGCATGTATGATTAGGATGCTTGATGATGCATGATATGTATGATTTGCAGTGACTAAATGCAGGCATAACACCAGGGTGTTACATGTAAGAGGTTTGCTTCGATGAAATAGTGCTGGTTAAAGTAGCTGTTGTCAGGACCTCATATTTCTCTAACCACTCTGCTCTAATGTTGTGCATTTTGTAGAGAATTTTTAATAGACTATCACCCCTTCTAACCATCTAGAGCATTTTAGCCCTGCAGCTGGTTGGAGTTTGGGGGACCGTAGTCACAACCGATGCAGCGATCCCTAATCTTAACGAGCTGCGCAATAGGGTAGGGAAAGCAATAGTCATAACCTGAAAACAATCGGCAAACAAGGGTAAACCACAGTCACAAACCTTGAAGAGGCCCCATATTACCCCATATTAATTAAAACAAAGACAAAACTGTCTTCAAAATCACTCTAAACCACGCTAGGTAGCTAATTTAATGATTTTGAGAGTTCAAATGTATTTGATTTTAGAGCTCGAGTAAGAAAAGCGGACTAGGGCAATATTTGATTTTAGACAAAACTGCCTTCAAAAAAAACAATTCGGCTGATAGTTTTTGTGGCTGATAAGTCGGCTGATGCTGTTTTGTTGTGAGAGAAAAACACTTTACCATGACTGATAAACCGGGGCTAATAAGTTTAAGCGAACAGGGCATTAGGACGTAGAAATAGAGTGGACTTTTTCCAATAAAAATAGAAAAATAAAGCAAAAGATCAACAAAACCTATTTCCACCTGAAGCCCATCTGCTTATGCAGGCAAGCCCAGCTCGCTCGGCCCGCTTCTCCTACCATCCTCCGCCCACCGTTCCAAAACCCTAGCCCATCCGACGGTCACGAGGCTCCCATCGCGCGAATAAGTGCACCTCCCACCCAAACCCCGGCTTTCTCCGCGCACTCCATCTCCCTCCCCGCCGCCGCCACCGCCGCACGCATCCGCATCCGCCATGGGTGAGCTCCTCCTCCTCCGTCCCGCAAATGTTCTCTGGTCTCTCCGTGCAGGCGAACCTTTGCGCGTCGTCTCTCTCTCTCTCTGACGGCCTGTTCGTTGCGCAGGGGCGTACAAGTACGTGTCGGAGCTATGGAGGAGGAAGCAGTCGGACGTGATGCGCTTCGTGCAGCGCGTGCGCTGCTGGGAGTACAGGCAGCAGCCGGCCATCGTCCGCCTCACCAGGCCCACCCGCCCCGACAAGGCCCGCCGCCTCGGCTACAAGGCCAAGCAGGTAGATCTCCCCGCCTGGCGCTCTGTTCTCTTGCCTGCCGCGAGATAGTGATATGGATATAGGTTGGTGGTGGGCTTGCAGCCGTTTAGGATTTGATCTTCGCAGTCATATCTCCGTTTGCTGGGTTGTGTTTATAAGATTTTCACGGCTGTGGGTGGACCATTTCTACTGTAGTTTCAGGCGATAGATCGTCGTCAGCTTTCTGTTTGCAAAATGTAGAACTGCTTAGGGGTATCACTCCAACTTATGCTGTTCAGTCGTGGAGCCTTTGTTTGGGGATTAAGATGCTTGGATTCGATATTAATGCTTGAATTTAGATTAGGATAAGTTGTGCTAGCTACTAAATTGATTGAGTACAACCTGTTGCAGTTTGTTGTGCACCAAATATTGTAGCTACTTATTGACTTGGAATAATCTCAACATAACTTGAGTTTGAGTATTTCCGTTTGCTGCCTATGATGGTGCATTGCATTTGGACCATGAAATTAATAGAGTTTTATGTAGGTTATTTCGCCAGGATAGGCTAACACGAATTAAGCCATTTAATCACATTAATCACATTATGTTTGTGATTTGTTTGGCTGATTTTTATGTGCTGAGATAATGTAGCACCATTTATTTATTAATTTATATTATGTTCATGTCCTCGGCTTGTGGCCAATGAAAACTTGTTTTGTGTAGTACAGTGATCCAACTTACTGTTGTTTCACTCCATGGTCTTGTTGCAGCTATGCAGCTGTCTGATTTGTATGCCTTCTCTTGTCACACAATAATTTTTTTGTGTAGGAATTTTGTGCATTAGACTCTTCGTATGCTATGTTAGGCTTGTTTACTTCATTTTATTAATGCAGTTTGAGTAGCTACTGTCACGTGCTTTTGTTTGATGTTGTGTTGTGTTCATTCATCTTCAGGGTTACGTTGTCTACCGTGTCCGTGTGAGGCGTGGTGGCAGGAAGAGGCCTGTGCCTAAGGGTATTGTCTATGGCAAGCCCAAACACCAGGGTATCACCCAGCTCAAGTTCCAGAGGAACAAGCGGTCTGTTGCTGAGGAGAGAGCTGGACGTAAGCTTGGTGGTTTGAGGGTTCTTAACTCCTACTGGGTGAATGAGGTATGTCGGTTTGTAACAAGAAAATTTGTCTACAAATTACTAACTTATGGGTTTCAAATCTGTTTTGTGCTAATGGCTTGACATGTCCATGTTTCCTAACACAGGATAGTACCTACAAGTACTTTGAGATCATCCTTGTGGATGTTGCCCACAAAGCCAATCAAAACCGACCCAAGGATCAACTGGCTATGCAACCCCGTGCACAAGCACCGTGAGCTCCGTGGCCTCACCTCCGCAGGCAAGAAGTTCCGTGGCCTGCGCGGCAAGGGCCACACCCACCACAAGAACAGGCCCTCCAGGAGAGCCACCTGGAAGCGCAACCAGACCCTCTCCCTCCGCCGCTACCGCTGAACAGCTTGTCCAGGGCTTGGATACTGTTACTGTCGAACTTGTCCCAAGCAAAACAAAAACTTTGGTCGTGTTTGGTTGCATTTTCAAATTTTGCTACTTGTGTTATCGGCACTTAACTAATGTTAGAAGTCAATTATGGAGCATATGTCATGAACTATTTGCAATTCGGCTGTGTTATTATCAGACACAGATGGTTAGTGATCGAAAGCTGTGTGCTGGTGTTGACTAAACGATGATTGGTTTGCCTGTTGTGGGTCGCACACAGCCGTGCTGAGGTACTTTTGCATCCCGTGATGATGATGATGGTGCCTCCGTCTAGTTGTTCAAGGTGTGGTTGATTGGTTTATATGATCATATTGTTGGATAGCTGATGGGACATAGTTGTGATTTGTGAATCATACGATATTAGGTCGTTGCATTCTGTTGCCAATCCCTTTTTAGCTATTGGATTTTGCTTAGCTGCAATGGTACTGTTGCCAATCCTTTTTAGCTATTAGATTTTGCTTAGCTGCAATGGTACAATAGGGATCCTCAAATCATGTGGAGGTTTGAATAACCATTACAATTACAATTTTGTGTCGAGAAGTAGAGGATCACAATTAACTCAAATAATTAATGGTGTGTCGTTGATGGCGCCAAATTAGAGTTACCGTGAGAGATATTGAGAGCCTAAATTCTCGTATTTATTCTAGATGTCTTTCATATTTGATTCAACACCTTGTTCACTTAATCGTTTTTGTGGCTTAATTTCATCGTATTTGAGAAAAATCTAGACGTCTTTCGATACGATGATTCATGTGCAAACTAGCAAACTTTACATTTTGCCCTACATATCGTGTGCCCAAAAATGCTTGGTTGTTGCCATAAAAAAAGAAAATAATTATCAAGCAAGAAAAATTTAGCAGCATTTCATCCTACTGCTAACTGTCTTGCTTTAAATTCATTGTCTAAATCTTCATTTAGAGAGACATTCTAATAAAAAATAGCTCTTTGTATCTCTTCACACTCCGATAATTTCTCGATGAAGAGGCTATTAGAGACACTCCGATAATTTCTCGTTTATGAGGCTATCAGAGAAGAGTTTTTTTTCCCACTGAAATCTCTATTAACCACGGTGTCACGGTCCCACAGTTTCAGTTGTCTAGGGTCCCACATTTGATTATCCTACCGTGTCCCCACACTTCAGCGAGATTGAGTCCAGGTCAAACAACTTAGGAAAATGGTCAAACTCTTGTGCGGTTGTGCCCCACTGCGCAGCGACCAACCAAGCGCAGCCCTATCTGCCCCAGTGACATGTGGGTCCTACCTATCAGCGAACCAGCCCTATCCCAATTCCCAAGTGTCCTCTCTCTAGAGCCAGCCGGTGGCGAAACTGCCAGGCGGCCGTGTTCTGCGGCGAGCACAAGGCAGAGGAGAGCAGCGCTCTCGCCTCTCCACTCGTCAGGCATCACCACCGCCTTCTCCCGAGGCTTCGAGATGGCGTCGGCGGAAGCTTCCAGGATCTCGGAGGCCCGCCGGGACGCTGTGTTCGGGCGGTGGGTCGTCTTCTCGCCGGCGCGCTCGTGCCGCCCCACCGACCTCAAGTCCCACAGCCCCGCCGGCCCGCTGGCGCCGCCCAAGCCGTCCTGCCCCTTCTGCGCCGGCCGCGAGTCCGAGTGCGCGCCCCAGATCTTCCGCGTGCCGCCCGACGGCTCGCTGCCGTGGCGGATCCGCGTCATCCAGAACCTCTACCCCGCGCTGCGCCGTGACGTGGAGCCGCCGCCGCCTGTGCTGCCGGAGGGGGAGGCTCCCCCGGACGAGCCCGGGGAGCGCGCCGTCCCCGGGTTCGGCTTCCACGACGTGGTCATCGAGACGCCGCGCCACGACGTGCGCCTCTGGGACCTGGACGCCGAGGGCGTCGGCGACGTCCTGCTCGCCTACGCGGAGCGCGTGCGGCAGCTCGGGGAACACCCCGTGGTGAAGTATGTTCAGGTAGAGCCGTAGAGAGGCTTTGAATTTGATGCGTGTGCGTGCCACTTCTGATTTGCCTTTATCAGATGGCTGAGCCATTTCATTTCATTCTTTGGATAATGGTGACAATTTGCGGCAAAAAAATTAGACGCTGAGAGTATTTCCAAACTGCAAAATTAGACGCTACGAATCGATGCATAGTAAGCAATTGGAACTCGTTAGTTAAAACTTAACAATTGCTGAACACTGGATATAGTTGCTATAGGGGCCAGGACAATTTCTTAGCTGGAGACATTGGGCCGTCTTTCTATTTTTCACATGTGTCGATGGTTCAGTGTATCTTCTAGTTGGGATCTTGATGACTTGATGTGTTTCTTTATGTTGGTATGGAGATTGACATTTGGGGTACATTAATGTAAAAATTCCAGTATCATGATATTCATAGCCTGTAAACGAGATTATAAGTTCAGATTTATGTGCCTTTATAATGTATGGATAATGTTGCCGTGGCAAAGTTTGCAAACTTGTTGGGTGTGTTATAAGATATGCTTGTTCTGGAGGTTATGTTGCATAGCTGTTAAGGTTGCTGTAGGCTTTACAGGATTCCAATTCCTGGGTACTTTCTGTTACAACTATGTTTATGTCAACCACTTTTGATGGCAGGATAGATATGGGCAATAACATATTGACCTTTTAGTTTAGAATGGAATTTGTGGTTTTGTCTATTCTGTCGAGTTTTGTGTATGGTTCATTTACATAAGCTTGGATATGGTGATTCTTGATTGGCAAATCGTTGAAGACGTAAAGTGCTTTATTGTTCACTTGCGAAACATGCTGTTTCAGTTGTTAGTGCCTTTGTCATTTACTGCATTGCTTATGCCTGAACCTTTTTCGGCCATGTGGCATATTTGTCATCTATATATCCATGTAGGAATCTGTTAGCTGACGTTGGGATATTGTGTTTGGGTTAGTAAATAGAAAGTGCCAATATCTCATTTGTTTGGGATCTGCGGTGAAAGCTCATTAGTTTGTTTGTTATGAACCCATTTGTCTTGGGTTCGATACTTTCCAACCAGGGCTAAGTTCTGAAATAAAAATCGTTGCCTCTCACCTGTGAAGCCACAAGGGGAATGCAGTGTGCCAATTTTAAATGCAGACTCATCTTAATATTGGACTTTTGTCTACCATAGAAACTAACCAGTCTCTAAGGAAAATGACTCAACATGTTCCTTCTTATATGTCATTTCTAGTGTTTATGATGCTTTCCATGTTATTTGTGAGCCAATAGCCATGCTTGTTATTATGATCTGTGCAGATAGACAGTCTGTTTCGTGTGGATATGTAGTTTGGTGGAGTTCTCATGCTTACCACAAGGACATAGGTGGTATGTTTGAGCAGTGCCATTGTTACTGTGCTAGTGGGTAGTAATTTACAAAATATTACACTGTTACACTTGTAACACTCCTTTAGTTGACTCATACAAACTAATTGGTGATTTTTCTTGAAACTAAATTGATTGAACAAAGATATAAGTGAGACGTGCTCAATGAAAGCTTTTAATGGGCAATAATTTCATCGTTTTCAAACAAACTTAGCTCTACATATCCAGGTCCCAGTCTTTGTTCCACAAACCCATCTTACTACTTGTTTTCTTGGATCTATTTTTGTCCCGTCGATTGTTTCCAAATAGCAGTAGCCAGTAGCCTATATTCAGACCTTTGAAAAAAAGGTAGCCTATATTCATTCCTGAATCCTGTTATTGACTGCAAGTTACCTCTTTTAATTTAGAGTTAAATGCATCAGAGGTCCATTAACTTGTGAGCGGGTTTCAGTTAGGGTCCATCAACTTTGAAAATAAATTTTCAGGTCCATAAACTTTTTATGTTGTATCACTTAGGTCCATACCTCTCCACGTTGCCTTTTTGTGCTGATGTGGCGTGATGACTAGGCTCTCTGAAGCAGCTCTTCGCCAATGTATTTCGTCAAACAGGTTGTGGGCGTGACCAGCACCATTGCCTCCAATCCCATGGCCGGCCATAGGCCACCGTCCCGTCGTCTGCCGAGCGCCTCGGCTGCGGCTGCGACGTTTCCACCGCCCGCAGCAGCAGTGTCGCGCCACCACCAGCAAGCTTTGGCATGCCTGACCCCAGCACCGTGGTGCTCGCCAGCATCGTGGTGGTGAACGCCATGGGCAGGCCTGACCCCAGCACCAGGCACGCCGAGACGAACTCCAGCGCGACGGTGAAGCAGAGAAGGACGTAGGTGACGACGACGTCGGCGCGCTCGTACACGCCGCTGTGGCTCCTCTAGAACAGTCGGATGCCACGAACGTCAGCCGAAGCTCGCCCTGTGCTTGGTGTAGAGGCGGTCGAACGCCTTGGATAGGGACGAGCGCATCAGGCCGTGCACGTCGGCTCTCGCCGAGCGCGGCACCACGAGCCGCAGGTTCCGAAGCCGGATGGAGTAGGGGTGGTCAAGGTCCACGGAGATGTGGTACGGCTCATCGGCCACCTCATCCTCGAAGAGCTCCTGAGGCTAGGGCCCTAGGATGGAGACGGACACGGCTGCGGCCTGCACGCTACACATACTCCTCCGGCAAGTAGGCGTCCTTATTCTGTAGCTCGTCGTCTTCGTCGAGGGTTCGTTCCAGCCGTGGATCGGAGGAGTTCATGATGCTCGTCACGGTCGTGTTCTCGAGGGCTGAACTTAACGTGCACTACACTCCAGGCCAGCATCGTGGTGGTGAACGCCATGGGTAGGCTGAACTTTACGTTGTCGCCGCACTGGCATTACATTGTGCATTTGTGCTGGGCACCGTCGCTGAGGCCGGAGTCGCCGCGCCAGGCCATGCGGTTGCCCAGCGGCAGCTTGCCGTAGCCGCGGACGCACCATCATCCGCCGGCCAGCATCGACGTCTGGCTCCGCTCCAGCGCCACCTGCCCACTCTGCCGCACCAAGCTCTCCGCGCGTCACCTCGCCGCCGCCGCAGACACGACATCATCTGTCGTCCCGGACGTTCGGGAGCAGAAGCCGTAGCAGGACCAGGCGCCAGACGCCGAGGCCGCAAGCAGCGTCATGCTCCCGGTTAGGCTCGGCCGGTTCAAGAACGCAGACGATGATGCCGAGTCCAGCGCCGGCGCCACTAGCAATGCGGGCGGCGCGGGCACGCGTGCAGCACCAGCGTGGCAGTAACCGTGGCGAGCAGCAGCCATGACGAGCATCAGGGCAAGAAGGTGTTCGCGCGCGGCGACAAATTTTCCATGTCCGTATCTGCGCTGGTGACGGCCTGCATCATGCCCACAGCCTGTTTGAGGAAATGCATTGGTCAAGTGCTGTTTCACATGGACAAGTCAGCAAGCCACATTAGCGTGAGAAGCCAACGTGGAGAGGTATGGACCTAAATGATACGACATAAAAAGTTTATGGACTTAAAAATCTACTTTCAAAGTTGATGGACCTAACTTAAACCTACTCACAAGTTAATGGACCTCTGGTGGATTTAACTCTTTAATTTACCTTTTATAGTACCTTTGTTGAGTTCCTCATGTCTGAAGAAGTTCCTTTGTCTTAATATGCTTAGGTGTTTAAGAATCATGGGGCATCTGCTGGAGCTTCGATGGCACATTCACACAGCCAAATGTTGGGAACTCCCTTTGTCCCTCCCTCTGTTATAACTCGGCTTAACTGCATGAAGGAAATTTTTGACAGATCAGGGAACTGCAGCCTTTGTGAGACGAGGTCCAAAGATATCCTGATCAGTGAAACACCTAATTTTTCTGCCATTGTTCCTTTTGCAGCATCATATCCATTTGAGATATGGATTATTCCTCGACAACATATTTCTTATTTTCATGAAATCGATCAGGATAAGGTTTGGAGTGTTTTAAAAATCCGCTTTGTGTTTCATTTTTTACAGACCAATAGTGGTTTAGACTTACGTACATGAATATTACTATATATTTTGAAGTTCAAACTTCCCTTCATATTTGCTCTTGATGTACCTTTTTGGAGTTCCTGTTAAGTTATAGATAATCTTCAATAGTTTCATGCATCTGCTATAGCTGTTGGTTTACTTTGCATGCCTAAACATTAGCTGTGTAATATTTATGTCATTTCCTCAAGGTCCATGCAAAATAGTTCCTTCTAGTTGAAATTTGTAATTTCCTTATTTGGCTCTATGCATGTTCTGTACTGAACAAGATACGCATTGCAATTTTCTGATGCACTTAATTATCTTCTTCAATCTTCACTTATTCCAAGCACTGTATTACACATGGGTTTCATTGCATTTCTACTGAATGAAAATGAGGGATTAGTAGGTTTACTTGATCACTTCCCCAATTTTTGTCATGTGGAACACTATGGGCCATATCTGCGTTACTAATGCTGTCAATAAGTTTGCCCATTTCAAGTCATAGTCATGAGCTACTCTGTACATAAATAAATTCCAGGCATGTTGATACTAGCGAAGTCTGCTTGTCAGCACCACCTTTTTTTGGGCACTAAGTCATTGCAAGGCTGTCTGCAGGCACTGGATCTTGGGTCTCTGTTAAAGACTATGCTGCAAAAGTTGTCTAAGCAGCTCAATGACCCGCCGTTCAATTTTATGATCCACAGCGCACCATTTGGGCTTTCATCATCCTGCCTGCCTTATACACACTGGTTCCTCCAGATTGTGCCCCAGTTAAGCACAATAGGCGGATTTGAGCTTGGAAGTGGGTGCTACATCAATCCAGTTTTCCCTGAAGATGCTGCAAAGATTCTTAGGGAAATTGACTGCTCAGTCTAGTGGTGGTCGACGTCTAACCGTTTACTATAGATAGGAACGAGGGATGTGTTCCTCTATACTTTTCTCAGAGCATGGTATTTTTAGTAATAATACAAGCAGACAGTTAACTTGATATGTAACATCAGGCCCTGCTTTGGCGAGGGACACCTGTTGGGGTCTCTTTCTTGCCCTTATTCAAATAGTTCTGCATGCCAAGTTGCCAAGTTGGGCTTCTTTCTTGGCCCTGAGATTGATGTTGCCTGTTTGTACAGACTACAGAGTGGTTAAAAACAGAGTTTTCGTTTCAAGACTAATAAATTGTTTGATCTCTTTTTATCATATGGTCTAAATGTTTTCTAGTTGTTAACATAAAGTTTAGGGCCTGCTTGGATGCCGTCCAAAACCTGCCCAGCCAAAGCTACGGCACTCATCAAACTTGTCGGTGGATGATTGCCTGGAAGGCTGGAATTACTTGCAGTACATAGATACATCCTGATTGAAGTATAAAATACAAAGTTTCAGATCTTGGAAGTCTGTAGCCGCCATACCTTGTGTAAATTAGTGAACCAAGAGGAATTGACGTGTGTTTTTCCTGACAGTCTGACATATTATACTGTCTGAACCTGAAGAACCAAAGTTCTCAATGGTTGTCTCGTGAGTTTGTCCGCTAACATATTCACCTTTTGCTTGATTCTTAACATATTTGGCATGGCTTACAAGCACAACTGCATATTTCCTTTACATAATGTACTCATATTTCCTTTACAAATTGGATATATATACTCATATACATAATGTATCTGCATGCATCCTACGAGGGCAAGGAGGCATCTCCGGGAGATAGTGAGCCTCACCAAGAATAGCTAAGGTACAGGTGTGAACTGCAAACTACTGACAGAGCGGGGAGCTGAAATGTATGGGCATGAGCTTAATTAAGCCTTAGTAGGCTTCTGCAGTATGCAAAACTGCAAGATCAGAGATGAGAGGCATTGCCTGCTGCTACCAGCCTACCACCATGTTTCAATAGCTCAATTCTTGCCTAATCCGAACAAGGATTTGATGGCGTTGATGGCATTCTCGTTGATGAACGACTCGTCGTAGTTCTTCAGCAAGGGCTCGAATTCCTCTGACTTCCTCAGGTTTGCGAGATCCGGGTCGGTGCGGACTCTCTGCAGGAATTCGAGTAAGTCTTGTGCCATCACTCATCAGTAACATTCAATCATGTGTTTCATGCTGCAAAACAGTTGGTTGGTTACCTTGAAGTCTTCATACCCTGCCTTCAGGGCTTCCTCCAGTGCAGAAAGCCCAGCTTCTATCTGCACAACAAAGCAACATAAACATGAGCCTTCATCAGTAGCAGACCTGAATAGCATCCATCATATATTCCGACAGTGAGAGTTACTGAACCCGGCCGAGTTTCGAGTAGCTGCAGGCAACATTGTAGCTGGCAATGGAAGCCTCACTGGGCTCCGGTTTCGATCCCAAAACCGACTCGAACTTCTCCAACGCCTCCTCATATTTCCCATCCCTGCATTTTCCAGGTGTCAGAAAGAGATTTCAAAACTGAAGCAAGCAATCACATTCACATAGCGCTCTGTTCAGGTGTTGAGGAATCATTTCAGTTCACTGACTTGTACAGCCTGAGCCCCATGCGGAGATCCTCTTCCCTCTGCATCTTCTGCTCCATCTTCCTCGTGTAATTTTGCAGCTGCAAGCAGTTTTTCAGACATTGCCGTGAGCAAAAACAACCATCCTGCGCATCTCTGCGGAGAGAGAGAGACCTGAAGATACAGAGTTGATGCTTCTATATTCTACTCACCTGGATCTCCCTCACCCTGCCGCTGACCACTCCAGAGTTCCTCTCAAATCTGATAATCTCCTTCTCGGTGAGGTCACCGTCACCGTCCACCTTACCTGGACTCAACTCAATCAGCAGCATCCAGCAAGCAAGAATCACACCCCTTGAATTCTCATTCCATTTCTTTCTTTCAGAAAACTAATAAGACGAATGCATGATTTCAAGGGCATGAAATTAACAGCGGGCTGTTGTTATCTTACCAAACCTCCTCTCCATCTTCAGGTACAGAGGGCCGACCCTCTGACGGATGCTGTACATGGTCTGGCCGTACCCTTTCGCCGGCCAGATCTCCTCTCCGAAGACAGCGCTGGTGGCGAGCACCTTGTCGCCGACCTCGAACTGGCCGGTCACGTCGGCCACGCCGCCGGGGAGGATGGCCTCGATGTAGGTGCCCCCGTCGCGGCCCTTGGTGAACTTGAGCCCGTACGGCTTCTGGATCGTCACCTCGTACTCCTCGTACGGCCGCTCCTCCTCCTCCGCTCCCTCGCCTCCGTCGCCCGACTTGGTCTCCGCCGCCGCCTTGGCCTCGGACGACGCCCGAACGACGACGGCAACGTCCAGCTGGGCCCTCCGCGCCCCGGCAGCAGGCGCCAGCCTCAGGTTCCGCCCGCCGAGGACCGCGGCCGCCGGCTGGAGCAGCAGCAAAGCATTGCTGCTGCTGGCACTTGGGAGGCGGCGGGCGGGGGAGGAGAGCAGCGGCGGCTGGTTAGCGGCCATCTGGCTAGCCAGCGCCATGGCTAGGCTTGGAGAAGCTTGTTGCGTGAGCTAGCCGCTTGCTTGCTAGAATGTTAAACTCCGCCCGGCACCGGCAGCACAGCTGAGCTCTCTTGTCTTCCTCTTCGTCTCGGGCTCGCGAATCTGAGTTCTGTGGTGGTGCAGATGAGGAGACGCTTCTGTGGCTCATCTTCGGCTGTGTGGCGGCAAGAGGGCTTGGAGCTCAGGCGTGAGATGGAGGCCACATACCAGCACGGACAGACGGGGAAGAACAAAATAGCGGCTGAGGAGTGAGAAGTCCACACCCCTCCGGCCAGGTGTCCGGCGTAGGTATGTTAGTACGTACGTGTCACCTTCCATGTCAGTTGAAAGTTATTTTTTTCTTTTGAAAAAAAGAAAGATGAAATAGCTCTTTCCGACCCGTTATATAAGACCCAAATTCACAAATACTTTTTTAATAACGAAAAATATCATCTGGCCTCGTCCTCTCAAAAAGAAAACAGACCTTACCTATCACCCGAGTACACTCAAAACGATCTCACTATCACATAACTCAAAAGGCAAAAAAAAAAAAAAAACGATTAAAACTCAAGTCTAAAAGCAAAAGATGATCATGAAAAACAAAGAAAGGAGAGATAGGTTAGCGCCCGGACGTCCGGACGCAGCTCCCACGCCCCCGTGCCCGCGTCACATCTCACGTGCTCTGTCTCGTTCCCAACCAGCACCAGCGTCCAGGAACATGGCCCGCGCTCCGCACGGTGGAACCACGCCCATCCTGCGTCTGCATGGCGGAACCGCGCCCCACGCTCGTATGGCGGAACCGCGACCCACGCTCACTTCTGCGTCGCTAGCGGATGCACGCCGTGAAGGCGTCTGCAGGCCTCAGGCGCCAGCACGTGAACCACAACGGCACACCAGCAGCAGTAGGCAGACAACGACCTGCAATACAAGATCTACTTTTGAAGCATCTAGACGAAACATTTGTAATATACGTCTAAAAACTGATGAAACATTTGAAACATGCGTATATAGCCATTGCAACATGTGCAACACCAGATCTTTTGAAACATCCAGATGAAACATTTGAAACGAACGTCTGAAACACTTGAAACACAGGCTTGCAACATGCGTATATTGCTATTGCAACATATGCAATATCCTAGATCGACTTTTGCAACATTTAAATGATACACTTGAAACATAAGTTCGAAACGCCTAAAACACTTCAAACACGGCATTGCCGGCAACCATGGCC